CGTGACCATACACGCCACACGCTCTACTTCCTAAACACACTGATTGGTCAGATCTTTTGTGAGTAAGGATAATGAGCCAACTGCAGTGCAAACAGAGACTATAGTGTCCCACACATAGCACACCTTTTTGTTTAATTAAATCGCACCGTTTTGCAGTTATGTAATTGCACAGGGCGACATCGTGAATGCAGTTGCGATTAGATTAGTTGTGCAGCCCTGATGAAATATTAATTGAGAAAATGATCAGCAGATGCATTGTTAGTTGCAGCCCTGATCACATTGTACATTTGCTTTGTGGTAATTATTCGAAGCGGCACGCTGCAGTGTTGGATGCCCCTCCAGACATGTTATATTATTCCTTGAAAAGTAACTGTGTCTGCTAGGGTTTCCTCCATAGACCAATGGGCCGTGACATGTTGACAGCCAGGTTTGTTATTTTGGCATTGGCAACAGTCAACAGCAGCCTATATTTTGTCCTTAATAAAAAGCAAACGAGCAAACCCAGCTGTCATCTCGTAGCTTCTTATTGTTAAGAAGTTCTTACATCACATACCAGAATTGGTAACATGAACCTGTAAGAAGTATACACAAGTGAGAAGTATAAATCATGTTTGAACAACTTCATGAAGCAGGAAGTATGTTATTCTGTGTTCGTGGACCGGATGTTGAGGGTTCTGTCCTCCCTTTCAGAACCACGAGTACTGGGCTCCACAAACACTTAGTCTCTCTGTTAATGGCATGAGTGCCGCACAGATTAAGAGAGAGTAGAGTCCGATAGAGTCCCCATGGCCGGAAGAAACGTGGCTCCCTGCTCCAGCTCCTGCATCAGGGTCAAAGTTCACTGTAGGGCCTGGAGGTTTTAGCCTCTTGTGACCCTGCCAACCAAAACTGGACTGTGTTTTCTTCAGAAATGTGGTTTCAGTTTGATGAGGGAGTCAGAGAAGAGTTGGAGAATGTGAAAGGGTGTGTGTGTGTGTGTGTGTGTGTGTGTGTGTGTGTGGAGGTTAAGCCTGGTTAATGGAGGATTAACCATAAAGAGCGGATCAGTGTGTATTAAACACACACTCTTGTCCATTAGCAGAACTCTTAGTGTGTTTCTCTGCTCACCTCGCTGAATGCAGCAGCTGACGCTCTAACGTGGTTGGACGGAGCCCATATGTTTCGTCATGGCTGCTGAACCAGAAGTATTTTCACTACTGGTTCAGACCTCAGTCCGCATGGAGGATTTTTTTCAGGTTCCTGCTTTGTCATGGTTTCATAGCTGCTGCAGAATGAGAGGACAGACATAGAACTATTTGAACTTTGTTACTTTTAAAAACTATTTTTTCATTAGTCAACAGAAGAGACTGGTTTAATAATAAAGCAGAAACAGCTTCTCTTTCATACATAAAATAAATTATTTATAAGACGGTTGATGGTATGCATGTTAGAGGAAACAACAGAAAGGCAAAACAACCACAAAGACACAAAGCAACCACAAAGAGAGGCAAAACTACAAAGGGAAACAAAACGACCACAAAGAGACACAAAATGACCACAAAGAAGCAAAATGACCACAAAGAGACACAAAATGACCACAAAGAGACCACAAAGAGACACAAAATGACTATAGATATGCAAAATGACCAAAAAGAGACACAAAACGGCCACACAGAGACACAAAACAACCACAGAGACACATAACTACTACAAAGAGATACAAAAAGTCTACGGGGGGGAAATTTCCTCCTAATATGAACTATGAGCTCTTACTAGTATTTATTGCTGCTCTTACTAGTATGTATTGTCAGTTATAGATCTGTATATGATGCTCTGTTGATGCTTGTATGTTCCTCAAATGTAAGTCGCTTTGGATAAAAGCCAAATGAGTAAATGTAAATGTAATCCATTCGTGGGCTTTAGTTCGATAACCATCACACGTCTGCACAACAAAGCTCGTCCTAGTGTGTGAGAGAAATCTTCCAGTACAGAAACATGAAACATCAGAGTCACTGTTCCCTCTCTTTCCTTTGGGATCAGACTGTCCTCCACTGTGTTCCCGTCTGTCAGTGTCTATTTGTTTTGAGTGTTGGTGTGTAGCCATGTGGTTAATGACTGCTGGGTGTCGGTGACAGGACCTCAGCCATAATTCACGATGGACGTTCTGTATGTGTGCGTGTGTGGTACGTCTTAATGCTATCCGTGCAGCATCTGTCTCGTCACAACCTGTCTGTTGGGTTTCCTGCAGTCAGTGTATCGCTGCAGGATCCATGCTACCTGCATGCTGCTAACATCCTGCTAACACACACAGCCGCTCGGGGCAGGAAGCTGCTCCATCTGCCTGTTTGCAGGCTGCAGAGACTGCTGAAACTCAAACACACACTTTACCATAACAACATACACCCTTCACTGTGATATGAAAGAACATTACTCTTGAGTAATGGTTGAGTCATTGGCATGAGGGCACAGAGAAACATCCCTGAAGGATCAAACCGATGATTTTCAGATATTATTTTAAATATTTTCACCAGAAAATATGAATAATCAGTGAATAAGATTGTGTTTTTGTCCAGTTATCAATGGGGCCATGTCAACCTCACTCTGCTCCAGCGAGAAAGCTTTTCATTGGAAGCAATATTATTCAGTGCAAGACATGTCACTTAAAAACACTTTGATTTTGATTTCATGGGGACTTTAAGGTTAGAGAGCTTAGACTAGTATGTTCCTTTAACGCTACTGGTGTGTGTAGACGTAGTGTAACAGATAAGTATTCAAAAATTGTGTTCGAACACTGTGGTTACTTATGTTCTCACATGTCGTTTTGTCGAGAACTGAAGGTCATTTGGAGGTCAAAAAACATCCAGGTTAAAAGTAGAGCTGCACAAATAATTACATTAGTTGTTAAGCGCCAGCTATTTTAATAAAACATTAATCGGTTTGAGAAGTTCTCTGATCTTAAATGTGAATATTTTCTGGTCTCATTACTCCTCTGTGACAGTAAACTGAATATCTTTGGCTTGTCGACAAAACAAGACCTTTTGAGGCCGTCATTTTGGGCTTAGGGAAACATTTTTCACTATGTCCTGACATTTTAGAGACCAAACCAAACCAACTAATCGATTAATCAAGAAAATAGTTAAACTGGGACCTTTTTTTTTGATTGTAGTGCTAGAGAAAAATGAAGAACTGTTGCAGGGAAGGAATAAAAAGGTAAATAAAAACAAAGTTAATGATCAATCAAAAAGGTGAATAATATAGTAAAATAACAGGTGAATGGCAGCAGCTTAAGTTGCATTTCACAATCATCTTTTTACAGTTTAATTTCGTATGCAAAATCTTTTCTTTCTTTCTTTTTAAATTTTTTTTTTATACCTGGTATAGAGTATGATGGGCTGGATACCTTGTTGTACCAAACAGATTTTACTTTAACAAGAGAGTATTAATATATTCCTTTGTCTGTTTTGTTATTTATTTAAATATGTATTGATTTGTCGTGGGGCCGGACAGGTGGGGGCAGAAATGGGGATGGGAGGCACAAACACCACACAAACAGACAGCTCAGAGAAAGGACAACACCTGCAAGAGAACGGGGTGGGAAGCTTGGGGCGGAGGAAAAAACAAACAAACAAAAACAAAAAAAAACAGTGACAACTAGCAGAACAGCAGCAATAAGAAAACAACTGAGGGAGAAATGAAAAGGAGATACAGTCAGCAGAATTAATGAACAACACAGCACAGCCATGAGAGCTGGAATAATAACAATACATTTAAATAAGCAACTTAATGAAAAGCATAAAGAATAATTCTACCTGTACCAAATTTCTTGCTAATTACACTCTTTAGGTGTTTATTTCCCACTTCATACACTTGTAATCTGGTGTCCTTCACTCATTGGAAGTGCATCTTAGTTAAGCAAGTGTGTAGTTTTCTCAATGTAACCAAAAGAATATTCAGTATAGCAATATTCTGCTATAATTAGCAGGAAGAGAGAGGGCATTACATCTAATCAAGACACCTGAACCTGGTATTTAAGGTTCTTTACAAAGAGGATCTAGCTAACCTTCATGTTTTGGAGAAAAAAAAAACCCATAGCAGCATCCGCCGTTTTAACCAGAAAATCACATTTTGGTGGTTGGTTGCCTGCAGTGGAAAATAATTTAGCCTCCACAGTAAAACATATTTCAGCAGCATCTGGCCGCCGGTAGTTTCCCAGTGTGGTATTTCTTTGAATGTGTTTCATCACACATCATGTGTTTCTCATGTGAAAAGGTTAGGTAATGGTTAACGTTACGCTGGACTGAGATGAAGTCATCCTTTCGGTAGAAATGTTGTTCATACTGGATATCTGGACATTTCATTAGAGGCGTCAAAGGTCAGCAGGTTGCAGCTCACCTGCTGTTTTCTTTTTAAATTGAAATGAATCAGGAGTCATGTGGTGCTACCCTCAGGCCAAACTCAAAAACATCTGTAATCTAATAGAATAATTAAACACATTTTTTTATGTTTGAAATGTAATTTTTTTTTAACTAAAGGCCCTGAACTCAAGTACATTCATTTATTGACTGGCGTCTTATGCGTCTTAATTTTATGATGTTTTACAGGAGAGATCTGGCCAGTTTATGGAAATAATGGATCAATGTTTTTTTTTTTGCATCAATGTGAAGAAGTACTTATATTTTTTCAGGTATTTTTTAGGTGTGTTCAACAAACACTATCGAGGTATTTTATCTATAAACATTTTCTCAGTTTATTTACCAGAAAATTGTCCTGCAATATAAACATGACATGTATTGTATAGAGAATTTGTGTGTGGTGCTGCCCTGATAGATTTCTAAATATACCAGGAACTTCAATTGTTGTTATTTTCCACTACTTTCTCTCTTTTCTGCTTAGTTTCATGTGTTCATGAACATTTGTACTCAAGTAATAACATTTTAAACTCAGCAGTAGACTTTAACAGCACCAGTAACTTTACTCCTCCAGTTTACAAGAATCCCTAACGTCATCTTCCTCCTCCTCAGTTCCCTGAATGTGGATTTTTCGGGATGTATGACAAGATCCTGCTCTTCCGCCACGACCTGAACTCAGACAACATCCTGCAGCGTCTGACCTCCGCGGATGAGATCCACGAAGGCGACCTGGTCGAGGTGGTACTCTCTGGTAAGAAACTCTTATTTTTACTATCAGTTAATCTCTTGATTATTTTTGTTGTAATTATTCAGTTAGTCCTGCAGCCTTGCATCCTCTTCATGAATCTAATTAACCTCCTGCTTCTAGCTCCTGACCCTGATATCAGGAATCCAAAAACTACCAGCATCAGATCTCCATCTAGAGTATGATGGAGGTCAGGAGGGGGATGTTGCCCCAAAATCAAAACATTTTTTAATTATACTAAAATGGTAGAACTCAATACTGTAGATAAGCAAATGTATCTTAAGCATGGTATGACAACGCTATTCAGTCCCTCCAAGATTTCACGTGCCTTTTTTGTGATAGTTGCGAACTAAAATGCCTGATTTCGCAGCAGCTTTTCCAAAAATTGCAATGAAAGTTACAATGTTTGGGACGTTTTCTCAGATGAAAGTGTGGGATTAAGTGCAAACTGCTTGGTAGATGTGTTTACTCCTGCTTTGGTAAGAAGATTGATACTGTTTTTCATGGCCCTTTTTTTTTTTTTTTTTTTTTTTTTTTTTAAAGGAAATGACAACGTTTTGCCAGAAACGGTGATAACAGGTCACATTTCCAAGTTGTGCTGAATTCACAGTGATTTGTTGAACTTGTGTTAATAGTTCCATCCATCCATCGTCAACCGCTTATCCTGCGTACAGGGGGCCTGGCGCCAATCCCAGCTGACATCGGGCGAAAGGCGGGGTACACCCTGGGACAGGTCGCCAGTCCATCGCAGGGCATCAGCAATATTGTAATATCTGTGAATTAGTATCTCTGGATTTGGTCACCATCTTCTGAAATCTTTATCTGGTCTGGCAGCGTCTGAGATTTTGGACCTGACTGCAAGATTTAGGTGCTTTAGTTGTTAAAGTTTCTGGGATCAAAAGTAACAATAAGAAATAGAGATATTTCACTCAGAACCACAGCCGTCAACCTCATGGTGGCGCTAGAGGAAATGTGAGGGGATCACTCGAGTTATTAATGGTTCATCCTCTGGGGAACACGGATGTCTGTACAAAGGGTCATGGCAATCCATCCATTAGTTGTTGAGATGTTTCAGTTTGAACCAAAGTGGTGGACCGACCGATCAGCATTTTCCCTTTGGATGCATGGATAAAAATGAATACATAAATAAAGCGATATACAGCCCACATAATCTTTATTTGGTTTATATCAAACTTTTATTTATTTGTACTCATTCGCAGTGTCGAGCTCTCCAGTCTCCAGACAGTAACAACTTTTCATATACTTATTTTGTATTGTTTGCTTTGTCTCCGTGTCCTCTCGTCTTCCAGCTCTCTTGTTAAGCCACCTCTGAGTGGGAGCGGTGAGGTCACCTCAGATCTTGTTTCCTCCTCTGCGGTGTCGCCCTGGGTCACCCTGCATGCTTTAACCATAATATTGTGTATAGGATTGCCATTTCCTGAGTTGTGTTGACAAGTTGGGCTGTAAAAACTAAAACTGACACCTTAACAGCTGAACACCCAGACGCAGAGCGGCGGCAGGTTTACATTACACGGGAGGAAGAAAACGAAGTTGCAGCCCGAACCGCACCGGGCTCAAACCACTTCCTCCTTCTCCTGCTGCTGCTGCAAGACTCTGCAGGGCTCAGCTTGTGTATGCGTCTTATTAGTACATCTGCCTCTGTTAGTAGAACAGTGAAGGCATTTTCCAACTCATGCTCGACTTGAAGATACAAAAAACAACAAGCTTTAGATAAGGTCTTTAGTCATTGTGGCACATGTTTTTTCTTTTCCTTTCTGGTGCCTCAGGCCTCACAGTTACAACCGCCTAAACTGTTAATCACAACCTCTTGAATGTTGCTAATACAAATATTGCAGTAACAATTTTAATGGCAGTTTTAACACTTGTACAACCATAACCAGACAGGAACTGTATCTCAGAGGCATAAAAGTAAGTTTATTTTTGAAAACACTATTGACAAAGCAGTGAACAAACGGAGATTCATTCAGAGATACAGGACAAGATGAATGCGGGCGCATTTACATTTTACTTTGGTTGAAATTTATTTTTCACGTCCAGAGTTTGTCAGATTCTGAGAGGAAGCATACAGATCATTCTTTGGCTAACAAGCTTGAGCAGGACAGGAACATATCTGGCTGTTAAGGTCATCTGTCCCTCTCAGAGGGGTCAACAGGATAGATAACCATCTCACTGGGCTTAGATCAATTATCATGGTTAGACTGCAGAGGGGGTAGCGTCTGGCATCTGTAAATCTAAAATATTACAACAACTATTGGATATATTTTCATTTAATTTATCGCACACATTTATATTCCCCCGGATGATTTATCCTAATGACTATCCCCTGACATTCCCTCCAGCGCCACTGTGAGTTCACACTTTTGATTTTGAGTAAAATATCTAAAATAAAGATAGTGTATATAATATAATATAAGATTATGTAAATAATAACTGTGATTATCCTCTGACTTTTCATCTAGTGCCATCATCAGGTCAACATTTAATGTGTGTGATACTTTGCTTTATGACCAAATACCTGCAGATCATCAGCCTCAGCTGTACTTTGTGTTTATTGCTTATTAGCATGCTCACATGCTAATCAAATATTGAGAACATGCTATCTGCAAAACATCAGCATGTTAGCATCGTAACTGTGAGCATTTAGCTCAAAGCTCGCTGTGCCTAAGTACAGCCTCACAGAGCTGCTGGCATGGCTGTAGACGCTTAGTCTTATCCTGATGTTAATAGCTTCCTCCTCTGTGACCCAGAAGTGGCCTTAATGTAGATGCAAAAAGGACAAACCAAATGAGAACAACATCACAGGATACTGTAGTTATGATCTCTGGGGATGTCCTAAGGCAATGTGCACGGATTGGGATAACGATCAGGGCGGATCCACGGATCACTGTTGTTTTTGGTGACCTATTGTGCACCAGGTATGCCAGCTGTCTGACAGCCTTGCTCTGTTTAGACGATGGAACTTATTCTCAGGTGGACTGTGTCTCTAAATGGCTGCTGTGCTGTTGGCTGGAAACTGCATCCACATTGGTTGACAAAATAATCTCTTCACTCAGTAGCTGTTCCACGATCATATCACATGATCTTCATCAGCAGATGGAGTTTCAGAGATTGTCATGGAATTGCAAATGTTCCAATGTTCTTATTTTTATTTTTTTTCGAGCACCCGTCTAATGTTGGCCTAAAAACTGAGACTTAAAGTTCATCACGAGGTATCAGATCTGGAGCTTTTGATCATATCACATGATCTTTGAGATGTAAATTCACTGTCATACATTTACATGAATGTGCTTTGTTCCTGCTGAGGACAAAGAGAGGCAGTCAAAATCCTGTCACAACAGATCCACACTGACACGTATAATAATATTTTAGATATAAAATTGCTTTATACTAACAACTATAAGGCACTGTACGAAATATTTGTGAGGTGAAAGGAAAGCTGTCATTAATGTTACGTTTTCTTACTGGATTGGTTTAACAAATTAGTAGCCTTCTTTAGACTAAGGCTACACCCACACCACTACGTTTCATTTTAAAACTGGCAATGGATGGCAATGGCGAAAAACCGCACCAGATATTTCTTTGCATGGACCGACATTGAGGTGAAACTGTTCCTGAAGGTAACACAGGAGTATAAAGCCACTGTGGCGGCGGAAAACAGGCTGGGAGTCGCTGCAAAGCATGCAAACGACATGCACAGTGTACAAAATATTTTTATAAAAATACCAAAACAAAAACACATGACTTATAAGACCCAATCGATAACCCTGGAGTTTTGAAACGAAAACGGGGTCAGCAGTAGTTTCAAACTTCTCCGTTTTAAGTGTTCGGATTCGCCGTTAGTCTGGATGGTGGGCGTTAACGTAGCAAAACTGCTGCTTTTTAAAACAAAAACATAGTAGTGTGGACGTAGTATGAGTCTTCCCCAGATTGGGTTCAGGGTCAGCAGATACTCAACATTAAAAAACTTAATTTGAGTCCAACAGGATTGGAATCACAACTTAAACTGATCAAGGCATTTTTAAAATGGATCTGATTGGTATATCTCTAAAGGCTGCGATGGTTTTATCCAACCAAAGCTGAGAAAATGTCCTCAAAGCAGTAGCTGTGCTAATGACAAATTGAAGCTGAAGATAAGAAAAGAAGGGACAACAAATAAGACACAATAAACTTTAAGGTTGTAACCACGCATCTCCTCCTGTCGTCCAAACCAGTTGCGGGACGGGAAACGTCCCATGTCGTCGCTTGTTGTTTGACTGCTCTGCATTTGTTGATTTCAGCTCTCGCCACAGCCGAGGACTTCCAGATCCGCCCTCACACGCTGTATGTTCACTCCTACAAGGCGCCGGCCTTCTGCGATGACTGTGGGGAGATGCTGTGGGGGCTCGTCAGGCAGGGCCTCAAATGTGAAGGTAAGAATGTGGGAACAAGGTGCGGCAAGGCCTGGGTGTTTTCACCCCTGCTGGGTTATTCAAGGTTTCGTCATGCCGTGACGCCTCTGTGCCGCAGTGGTTAACACCTGAAGTCACATGCATCCTGAACAAACATGACTGTATTCAAACAAGAGAAGTACATTAAATTGACATGCTGAAGGCATCTAAGAAGAAATTTGAGATTGCATGTGGTTATGTGTGTTCCAGCAGGTTTCATAGTACTGCTAAGCTACAAATTAGGTTGTCTTTTGCAACTTGCAACTTGCAAAAAAGAAAAAAGTACTACTTTAAAGAATCATGTGCTCCCTGTTTGTACTCCTGTAGACCTTTTCACACGCTCCGGCACCTAATAATTAAGAAATTCAGCACTGCTGGTCAGTGTGTACATTTCTACCTAGTTAGAGCCATAATATACACATTTCATGTTTGTGGAGTTTAAACATTGTCTGGATGAACAATACCAAGGGTCACATTTACATGAATAAAGCAAGGTTCAAGCATGTTTACACATTAACGTCGGCGCATCATGCTAAAACGGGCGTCTCCCACGGGTGATACAACCACAGATTTTGAAAAAGAGGCGGCTAGTAAAGATAGAGCCAATAAACACATGAAAAGGATGGGACAAATGATTCATTCCAGTTGAATCAGAAACCAGAAAATTGACCCCAGTTTAAGAACAGTTTTCCCTGAGCCCTGTTGTTGTTATTATTATAGTGTAGTTATAAATGTCATTGATTTTAAATTAGGTTTTCTTACGTCTGGAACAGAACCCGGATTGTGAAACAGAACATTTTGATTTGTATAGTTTGTCCTCCCCAGAACGACACTTATTATCTCACACCTGTTGTCCCAGTTAGGACGAAGACTATCATCTTCTAGTCAACACTTTTTTTTTCACTCAGACTCAGTCAGGATATCTGGGTATTTAAAACATTTCAGACAAGCTTCCTGTCAATTAAACTTTACGAGAGGAGGTGATGTTTGCTGCCAGTGTTTCTGTGGTGAAATCACATTTTAACGAGTAAAACAGAGGCGAATAAGACGCTGCACGTCATTCCCTCTGGGTCACTGTCGCTGCACAACAATGAATAACTGAAAACCGATCTTAAAACATATAAAACTTGACTGTTCGACCTCCATACGGCTAAGAAATATAAATTTAAGCTTCCTGGACTAATTCAGCATGATGTCATGATTGTTTTATTACATTTAATCAAGTTTTATTTTCACTGAGGCTGCGTGCAGGGACTCCTCAGGGTTCAGCTTTGATTCCTGCCACATCCGAACTGACCGAGTCATCACCTGCGAGGTCCAGGCACACGTCCAATACACACACACACACACACACACACACACACACACACACACACACACACACACACACACACACACACACACACACACACACACACAGATTTTCACACACCGGTTTGCAGGCCTGAAAGCTGCAGCAACTGTACAGCAGGATGTCTTCATTGACTCTGTGACTTCCTGCAACTATTTTTCACATCTTTCAAGTCCTGATCTCGGCTCTCCGAAACCTGAGAGCAAATCTTAACTGTAGTGATGCCAAGAGGAGGAAAGAGACGCTTGATGTTCTGAGCAGCCCGAGCGGCTGTCAGCGCAGAAAAACGGCTTCCGCTTACATAACTTGTTTGGAGGTTGAAACGGTTAAAAAGCAGCGTTTTTAACGTGAATCTGCCCACTCACTCTGACTGAGGGAGGAAGGCTTTAAATCACAGTTTTTAAACAATTTAAGCATCTAATTTGGTAAACAACCTCACTAACCACATCCTGAGCGTCCTGGTTCTTTCTCCTGCATGAATTAACCATTTTATTTTAATTATTTTATTTCTTAATGGGATTATACAGACACCAATTTAGTTTTAATTTATTTATCTTATTGGACAAATTAGACAGACAGAGGTGTAACAAAATATACAGGCAATAAGACAGAATAAACAATTTGGTTGTTTTTATCAGTGGGAGAACTACATGCAGATTTCTGCTCATGAGTGTTTTAGTACTCAAGACCGGTCTTAAGACCACTTTTTGATGGTCTTTGTCTCGTCTCGGACTCGACCGCATTTGTACTCTCGGACATTGAGGACTCGGGATTTTATTTCAAGACCATAACTTTGGGAATATCAATAAATGTATTGCTGTATTGCTTCATTTGCAACCAATAACTAATTAAATTAGTTATTTGTTGCAAATTAAAATGTGTTGTTCCCGTTAACAACGTTTCACGCCTACCCGCGATGGTCAGCATGGAAAAGGAGCGTTTGTGGGTGTTTTAATGGGAATGTGGATCTTTCAGATCAATTTGAGAAGTACCTTTGATCTCGTTCCACATTTTATTGTGTGTCATGTAATGTGGGGAACTGGTCTTGGTCTCGACTTGGTCTCAGCCCCTAAAAGTCTTGGTCTTGGTCTTAGTCTCGGTCGCTCATGTATGATGAGTGACGTGTATTCATTCAGTGTGATGAGAGAAATGTGCAGAAATGGGCAAAAAATAAAAAGCTATAAAAATAACTGTAATGATAACTTAATTAATTAAATACAATAATTTAAAAATAAATGCATTTTAATCAGCAGAACCTTTAAATAAATAGTTTGATGATGCACCATCAGATCCGACTGAGGGGCCAGGGCACCTACACAAAGGGAACTGGATCTTATCTATATCGTCAGTTCAAATATAGTTCTGTGTGTTTGAAGAAATTGCAGCTGCACAGAGTGAGTTTCTACTCCAGACATAAACCAAAGGCTGAACAACAGGTGGGGAAAAAATAAAATGACATAACAGTTAAAATGACTTTTCTCCTCTTCAGGATGTGGACTGAACTACCACAAACGGTGCGCGTTCAAGATCCCCAACAACTGCAGCGGAGTCAGGAAGAGACGACTGTCCAACGTCTCCCTGCCGGGCGCCGTCATGTCCATCGCTCGCCCGCCTTCCACTGAGTTCACCCCGATACCGCAGGAGGAGGTGGGTTTACTACCGTCACCTGAAGCCTTTCACATCAGTCAGTCTAATGAAGCAGGTGTTAACAAGACAACAGTGTTTAATGTTGTCTAAACACGAGCAGCTGCACATCATTTCGTGATAAAAACACAGCATAAAGTTAGAAAAGTTATGATTTAAATCAGGAAATCTTTCACTAACTAGAGACTCAATATATGACGAAGCATTCAATAGCATCTTTCCATAAATTTATCAAAAGAAACATTTGAGTTGGTACCAAAGAAATCTCTCAAAGTCCAATCCCAACCGTGTCTGATTGTGTTTTAGCATCCGATAGAGCAGCAACAAGGACCTGATTGTCTGAGTGGCGTTCGCATGTTTTCCCTTTGCCTGGGTTTCCTCTGGATGCTCCGGTTTACTCCCACAAACACATGGTCAACCGGAAAATCTATATTGCCCTTAGGTGTGATTGTGAATGTGAATGGGTGTCTGTCTATATGTGTGTCAGAGTGTACCCTCCCTCTATCCCAGTGCATGCTGGGATTGGCTGGATAGGGAACCCTGAACAGGTTTAGTAGTGTAGAAGATGGATGGATGGAGGACTGTAAGAATATTTCTTATTTTAAGAAACATAGTGGGGCAACAACTAGTGCAAAAATACCATTTTGAAATGACCTGTTCTGCTCAACTCGCTGTCGTTAAACTCACTTTCTCATTTATATGCACTGTCAATTAGAGTAGCTATGTTTTCCCTTCTGAGCAAGCCCTGTTTTAGTGCGTTGTCCTGCTGCTTTCATGTTTTGTAATCCCCTCAGAAAGATGCTTGAGATCCTGAAAGCTTGTTCTTGACAAGATACTATCCACACCGAATAGCACACACTCACACACTGACAAGCTAACACACTTTTTCTTGGAGAGCGAGTCCACGTTAAGTCTGCGATTATTTTTTATTTTTGGTTGGTCTGGGCACTGAGGCGTTTAATCTCAAGTTTCAAAAGGCCTTTGTGTCAACTATGAGCAAATGACGGCATCAGTACTTGGCGAATAGCCAATCAGTGGGGCATCAGTTAGTTAGCCCCACTTTGCATCAATCTTTTTCCATCATCATCTGTGCGTGTGTTGTTGTTTTCCCTCTCAGGACACTTGGCATTGCGAGCGTAGGGCTATCCCCACATCCCCATCAGCCACTGACGTTGGAATAATGATTAATAACAGCAGTACCACTTAAACCTGACTTTCTCCTGCTGCCTGTGCCCCAAATGACCCGCCACCTATAATAAGGAATAACATCTTTGGGGGTCTGGGGAACACATTTTCATCAAATCCAAAGCCATGACTGACCCTTAATTCACACCAGACACACCTCCGCTCTCTTCACACCGACTCTGACCTCCTCTAAGGTGTCAGTGTTCGTCAAAGTAAGTCTGAACCTTGTGGCTTTGAGGTTTTCATACAACAAGAGACACATGTTAGAGATTTGTAAGTGAGGTGAAAGTAAGTTTTAGAGCTTGACAAATAATGAATGGTGTGAATGAAAGATTCACACAGACAGACACACACACACTCTCTCTGATGGCTCGAGGCGAACCACTGTATTTTCCATCCTGTTCAAACCAGCGAACAAAGTGAGTCACAGTCAGAGCTTCACACTTACTGGAACACACTAACTTTGGTCGGCTCCGTCTCACGCACACGCGCACACACACACACACACACGCGCGCACACACACGCACACACATACACTCTGAACCGTCTGAACCCTGAGAGAAAAGACTTTATAACATCCTTTATAAACAAAAGAATACATGTGAATGTGTTTCTGTTAATGGAACATCTGCTGTTAACCTTAAATACTTTATACACTAATACACCTTTTAAAGTATCAGTTCAAGCCATTCAGTGCATTTTAATTGGAGAACGTCTTAACACTGTGGAAATCAACTTATTTACTTCTCAACAGGGCGCACGTGATACATGATATCTGATATTGGCGCGATACTAACTGAAATACCCGGATCGGGTATCGTTTTCAAGGGGGTTGATCTATTTAATTCAATTACGCGAGTACTACGTGATGCGTCAGCATTGTGTTGGTAGACCCGAACATTTTGCTAGGAGCGCTAACATAGCATTTTTTTTTTAAACTTAAGGAAGCTCTGTTTAAGTCAGACCTGATGTTGCCTCACACTAAAAAGAATGATTCCCAGTTTCTTTCTCACAGTGAGGAATACAGTTCAGACTTTGGATGGATGTATTTTAAATGGTTGTGGTGATGGAGCAGTGGATGAGATGCAGGCCTGGGTGTGAGAGACCCGGGTTCAATCCCCCACTGTGAGACATCCACCAATGTGTCCCTGAGCAAGACACTTAACCCCTAGTTGCTCCAGAGGCGTGCGACCTCTGACATCTAAAGCAATTGGAAGTCGCTTTGGATAAAAGCGTCAGCTAAATTAATAAATCTTCTTCACTCCATGTATCTCCATCAGCTTCTCTGTTGTTACTTTTCCTTATTTTGTCTCAGGTCTTTTGTCATGCACATGTGTATTTGTAAGAAAGCTGATTAGAAATCTGTTTGACCGTACATGGCAAGAAAACCCGTGTTCTCCAGGAGAAGTCTACATGTGCAAATCAGCTTTTACTAACCCCTTACCCAGATTACAGAAACCAGGTTTCTAGCAGATTACACATTTAGATGTTTTCAAGTTTAACCTTCTCTTTTTTACATTAGATTTTTTTATAGATTTCAAATGGTTGAAAAAGGAAAGCCAGCTTGTTTTACTAGCTGTTCTGTACCTACATTTATCTGATGTGAAGAAGATACAGTGTGAAAGACAAAAAGAAGCCAGATGAGTTCTTCATTATAATAAGAATAATGTCCACGTCAAGCTGAAGCGCAAATGTCTAAAACCAAACCAAAATTTTAAACACTTTCAGTGGAACAAATTTAATATTTCTGGCTAAAGACAAGAGCATATTTGTGTTTTAAGAAATTCAGCATGTCAAGCAGTTTGCAAGGTTAAATTAATTTCCTTGTCCTCTCTGGCATTTAATGTATGTAAACAAAGGTTTAGTCAGTCTCACATTTTTACATCATAATCCTACCCCTAACCCATATTATTACATCTTTCATGTTAAAAGCCCTTAGAGAAAACTTTGCAGTGCTCGTCGTACGAATGTGATAAATCGGACTGTGATTATCATATGTGAAGGTGGTTTATCAAACTGTTCTGTACTAATTCAGGCCCATTGTGTCACATGCTTCCTGCTCTTTCCAGGACTGCGGTCCTTAAGCTGCACGTTGTACAAGGACAGCCATTGTTCTAGTGGATAGAAAAGATTTCATCTGTGCTCTACTTTCACGACGAGGGAACAATTCTCCAAATGTGATGTCTCAGCTGAACCTCCTGAACCCTGATTGTTCCCCTCATTTCCCTTCAGGAACTTTAAGGGGGAGCTTTTTGCAAGAAACAAACCCAAAACATATCAGGGTATCTGCATGTTTTGAAAAGCCTTAAATACATTGAATTGACTTCCCTCAAAACATCTAGAAACTTAAAGAGGGAATAAATGTAAAGAGGGATTGCTGTGGATTGTTCTGCATGAGACTGGGATTTGTGTCAAACACTGTCGCTAATGTTCACCTATTTAATTTTCTGCCACTTCCCTGGGTCCAGGTCATGTTAACTGATGAATTATATTAGTGGGAATTATCGTTATGTACAGGTGGGAAGTATTGACGATATAAATATCTATAAATTATTTTCCCTACTGGCTTTCCAGCATTCTTGGACTAAGTATGGTGGTGGAAACAGGACTAAAGTGCATTCTAAGTTGGATTTAAAAAAGGTCTTAAATTTAATTTGGTGAACTCTTTTTGATGCTGAATGTTTAATATTTACTGTTTAGTTTTAGTTATTCATTTTTATTGTATTTTGGAAATAGGCTCAGATCAAAACTAATGAATTCAATTAGCTTATTGGTTCTGTATGGTTTAGATAGATAGATAATATATGTTGATGTTGGCCAATAAGGTAATAAAAAAATTGCAGTAGAGAAATTAGAAATTATGTTTGAGGTACAGGCAGCAGCCACACATCCTCATAATAAGACAGTTTGTTCAGGACAAAAACAATGTTTTAATATTATATCTGTATTATGTTCAAAATTCTTTATAAGACCAATTTAGAGGCTCAAAGACATTTGCTTTTGTTATTTTTGTTATGAGTTTACGAAAAAATGTGCTGATATATTGTTTAAACTGGCTTCCTTTCTGTCAAATAATTGATTTTAAAATATTACTGCGGGTTTATAAATGATTTAAGGCTAACATACAGTACATATATGACCTTCTGCGATCAGTCCAGTATCGGTCAAACTGTATATTGTTAGAATTTGTTTTTTTGAACTTCTGACCACAAATCAAATTTTTCTTCCCTCCTTTTTTTCTCAGTTGGTGCAGCGCCCCCTCATTGGTGCCGGGAAGCGTAACTCCCTGCTGAGCGGTCGTCCCATCTGGATGGAGAAGATTGTCCTGGGTCGGGTCAAAGTCCCTCACACCTTCTCCGTTCACACCTACACCCGTCCCACCATCTGTCAGTTCTGCAAACGTCTGCTGAAGGGCCTCTTCCGCCAGGGGATGCAGTGCAAAGGTGACGACTCGCACATGCAAAGAAAACTGAAAAATAAGAATTTGTTTTCTATATTTTCATTTAAACGTCTTTTTATCTCTTCTGCTGTAGATTGTAAATTTAACTGTCATAAGAGATGTGCGGTGAAAGTACCTCGAGACTGCCTCGGTGAGGTCGACTTTAATGGAGGTGAGTTTGTTCAGCTTGTTGCTGTGTACACACGACACACCTGCACACCTGTTACGCTCGCTGTATTTACAATAATATCATAGACTACTCTGCCTCTCTTCCTTTTAATTTATATGTAAATATGAATTTGTATTAAGTGTGGTGAGATCTGTATGTTTAAGGAGCCAAAAATGCACAGAAATGCCCAAGAAGGATATAGTACACGTCCTTCTGTGCACAGACATGGAAAACAGGGGTTTTGGGCCCAGATGCCAGACAGAGGTACAGTTAGTGATGTTTTATTTACACAAACGGGTGAAAACTTACAGGTGAGGCGAAGCAGGTGATCCAAAAACAAACACGGTGATCCATACAACAAACAGGTGAGTTGTCCTTAAATTCACAGAGTTTCTGTCTGCCCCACAAGTGACAGACAGAAAACCACTTATAGTTGGGTTAAAGACAAAGAGACACAGGTAATACACATCAGACAATCAGTGAACTAACAAAGAGGAAGTAAGAAAGTACAGCCACGCAGACAAGCTTCACAATTCACAGAAAACACAAACACCAACCATCCCATAAATGTGACACGTATATTTAGACAAAATAATTTGGCCGCAACAAATATTTTATGTGTTAATGCGGGCAGAGTTTATTTAAAAAAAAAAAACAACCTGTATATCTTCAGTTTTAAATGCCATAGAAAGATTTGTGCCTCTGGTAAATTACTGAAAATGTCATCAAGGGAGCTGATGAGGCGAATTCAAACATGCCCATTTTTCCTGCTTCTACCATTTCAACTATAAAGACACAATTTTCACTTGCAGGTGCCATGATGATGAGATAATAATCAGTCTTATATGGTCATAATGTTATGGTTGATCGGTGTATTTGACACCTGAATAGATAATTTCTTGCCTAAAAAATCTCAAAACTTCTCAAACAGTTGCTGTTCAAACATTATGACAGTTGTGTGTTTGGCTGAGTTCTGCAAAATGCATGCTGGGATACTTGTTTACCCCAAGTCCACATACTGTAGGTCAGCTCCCAAAGTATCTTTGATAGTAAGAACACCTCAGGCATTTGGATTGTACGAAATGCCTTTGAATTAGAATCGTACTGGGGCTGAGCAAAGGCCAAGAGACTGCTTCACACTTTTTGGTTTAACACTCGACTCCAATTGCTTTTAAAATCAAGATTCACGTTAGATGAAGTGAAATTAGTTCCTAATAATCAGACTTTTTTGAAATGTGTATTTATTTTATTTACCTTGTTTTATTATTGTTTTCCTTTTATTTTCCTGTATGTTTTATTTTAAACACTTTTGTAACTGTTTAAAAAGTGCTATTTATATAAAGTCCATTATTATGTATTAGTTCTGGAGAGAATATGGCGATTTTCCCGTTCATGTCAATGCAGTTCCCTTGTGGCCATCAGAGGAACTGCAGCTTAATGAAATCTTTTTATAGTTTTTAAAAAACCTGTCTGTTAGTTCAGTGTCTTGTACTCAGACTCTTGACTTTGTGTTTCTGCAGAACCAGCCAGTCCCAGTCTGGACTCCGAGGCGACGATGGAGGTGGACAACAGCGACGCCAACAGCGACGGCGGTCAAAGCATGGACGAGCAGGACGACAAGCTCTTCTTCATTGAGGGTCCCTGCACGGACGGCGAGAAGGATGACGAGACGCTCAGAGCCATCAGGTGATGCTGGTTCAGAATATGCTAGATGGGTACTGGTTAAAGCTTTGTGATACTTAAAATTAAAAATTTATTTAGAAAAGTATATATTGCATTATTATTTGTACAAGTCAATTAGTTTTTTAAAAGAATCAACAAATAAGATTAGTATTGAGGATAGTTTGTATAAAGAAGCAGAATAAACTTTATTTACTTATCGTCCATCTAAGTCAGAAAGATAAATAATTAGAGTTGTTGCATTTCCTAAAACGTCTGTTTTATATTTGTTGACGTGCAGCCCGTCCACCAGCAGTAACATCCCTCTGATGCGTGTGGTTCAGTCCATCAAACACACCAAGAGGAAAAGCTCCACAGTGGTCAAAGAGGGCTGGATGGTCCACTACACCAGCCGCGACAACCTGGTGAGAGGAGATACAAAACACAAAAGATACAGCAAATATACGGCACAGACGGGTTTATCTTAAGAAACGTACATCACAAGGAGAAAAATGATGAACAAAAAGCCCTGTAGTGGTAGTTTGTGTAATTACACCACCTTTCCTGAAAAGGAGAGGGGCCTCTGCTAATGTCTGGAAAAATGATGATTACCTTTTAGTTGTAGCAGTGAATTATAGTAATGAACAGAAGCTTCAGGGAAAACGAGCAGTGGCACTAAATCGCACAGTTGAGGCCATATAAATGTGAAACACACAATAAATAACTTCCAACTTCACAAGAACAAATACTCGTGGAGTCATTTACATGATGGATGATTTATAACGTTACTCATGTCCCCGCCCAAACACGGCCTGATAACCTCCTGTTCTCGAGGGTCCAAAGCTCCTGTGCTAGAGGTGTAAACGAACACCAACTCTCCACCAGCGCTCTGAGCTCCCAGTCCAGGTAGAGTCAGCTAATAGGACAGCTAACTAGCCGGTGGCTACAGTTAGCAGCAGGCCATATGTCTATCAATAATACCTCAACGAGCAGTCATCGGATGCACGCCAGTAACTGACTTAAGTGTTAAAAGAGAAAAGGTCTGCGTCGGAACGATCCTCGTCCTAACGACAAAGTGCAGCTCCCGAATGGAGTTGAGGTTTTGGTTTTCCTGCTTTCTTTCTTCTAACTGACCAAGTCGACTCTTCTCCTCAAATAAGGGTTTAGTTGATTGTTAGTTAGCATCAGCAGTAACTTAATCCGGCTCTGATACAGCTGTGGTAGGGGAGTGAACAGTTAACATCGAGGCTGGAAATCACAAATTACTCAAGCTGAGTTCGAGCCATCGTTTGTTCGTACATTTAGTGAACGTCTCCAATATTGCTGCCTGTGTTTCCTGTGAACCCCTTGTTGATTGTGTAGGCACTTTGAACCCTGGGTGGAAATTGCGGACTGCGCCAATAATAATCAAGACTACTATGCGGAGCCATTCAGTGAATGTTAATACATTGAATGGGTATTGCAGAAATAATAAATTGTTTTTTATTTCATGAAGCTCTTAGGCTATTGATTCTAATGTATTTTTGTCAAATTCAGCGAGTATGTGTTTGTTCTGTGTGCGCACTGAAAACAAATCAGGTGTTTGTACACAGCTCTGGCTCGAACCCAAATACAATTACCTCACATTTGTACTTATGTACAGTACTGTGGTAAAATGTAAAATGTGACCTGCTGGACTTGTATCATGCATCTGTGACTGAGAAAGAAGACCTCTGTCTAATCCTGTGGCTGAAATCCACCATACACGTGTAAATCTTGAAATAAAACACTTTCTAATCGCTGAAGTTTTTATCCTGATGAAGTTTTATTTTGTCTTTTCCAGAGGAAGAGACATTACTGGAGGCTGGACAGCAAGAGTCTGACTCTGTTTCAGAATGAAAGTGGAGCCAAGTTTTACAAGGTAGGAGACCCGGTCGGCTCAGATCTGGTTTCAGCTGCTCGGCCAAACAAAGCAGCGATGTGAAGAGAAGACTGAAGGGAGTCGGGTTCATACAGTAACATTCATGAGACATTAACACACCTCACTGTCTAATTATGACCAGATTATTCACTGTAATCATTCGTATCAGTTCAGGCTGTTTACTTTCCACTTCGGAAAGCTTCTAAACGACAAATGAGAAACACTTAAAATGTCATAGTTCTGACATCTCATCCTCATACAGTGTGTTTTTGCTGGATGTTGTAACTTGTGACGTAAACATTTTCTTCTGCAGACTACACATTATGCATTCCCAAAACAGCATATTTTAAACGGCTGATCACTAGTGTTGTAGTACTCCAGACCGGTCTTTGACCACTATTTGATGGTCTTGGTCTCGACCGCATTTGTACTTGGTCTTGTCTCGGTCTCGGACATTGAGGACTGGATTTTATTTCAAGACCAGTCAAGACCATAACTTTGGGAATATCAATAAATTGCTTTTGCATTGTCTGATTTATTTGTTAACATCCTAACTTTTTTTGGATGTAAAACGTATTGCTTGAAATGCAACCAACAACCCTAATTAAAAATGTGTTGTTGAAAAATGTGATATATATATATTTTTCAGCTGCCTCAGTTTATGTTTAATACATATTTTTTTAGATCTACATCAATGAAAAAGATTTGTATGGTTCACTGTGCTGATTTCTTATCTGTGTTACTTTTATGTTTCCTCTGATCAGTAAAGAAAGACTAAACTCTATTAGGAGCTAGTTAATCTAGCTCTCTGCACTGTGTTATTACAGCGGCTGATTGAAACAGACTGAAGCTGTGATTATGACTATAGCCACGAGATGACTGACCGTTCCCGTGTTAAAGGGTGTAACACATTAGTTTATGATGGGAGTAACACTAACAACATGCAGGGGTTGTGCAGTGATTTGGCTGAGCGTGGTATTGAAGCTACTGTATTCCTGAACTCCGGTGGTGTTTTGATAACACATCCGTCGTATCTGATAGAAGCGCCGCAGGTTCAAATCCTGTGTGGCTTAACGATGCTTTCTTGGCGAATAAAAGAAGAGTAAAGAGAGAACAGGACAGCTGCCATAGCCACAAACAGCCACTGCTTCAGCTAGCACAGCCAGGCAGAGCTGCTGCAAGGAAGGCAAAAATAGTTAGGAAAATATAATCCCACCATAACCCTTTGGTGGCTCCATATAAAACGGAGAACAGCCTCAAATCCTGAAATTTTAGGAGTTGGAACCAAAGAACGAGTGAAACCACTTTCTGCTCATCGACTGACCTGTTAATCAACTGTTTCTGCACAACAAGCATCAATACAGTTGCTGTAGTTGCTTTCAGTTTGGTATATCTTGAGCACACATTGTGTATGATGGTGAAACTGTATATTTGAGCCAACCATTTGGAAACACTTCTCGTGCCTGTAGTATGATGTGAGATCAGAATTAGGCACGAGGTTAAAGGTTGAACTCAGAAACTCAAAAGTTTCTCCAACTTGTTAAAATTTGTTTCCTCAAAATTTGAAATGATCACATGTCAATTCAGGTCAGTGCAGCTGCAGCTCCTTTCATTCATCTATCATTTTCCTCTCTCTTAGTCCACCTCCTTTCATGTTATGTCTGCCAGCGACCTGGTGACCTTTACCACAAAGCGCTGCAGAAACCTTCCTTTGAAGAGAAAGGGAGAGCGGGGTGAGGGAAGGGGGGCGCGGCAGAGATTTGTGGTGGTTTTTGGGACCTCGGGTCGCTTCCCTGCCGTCTCTTTGGCTCGTCGCCACGCCGCCTCGTGCCCAAAGCGGCTGAGGCACGTCCTGCCTTTTAATCAGAGCGGCAGGATGAATAGATGTGATCGTGGTTTGGGGTGAGGAGGGGGGGGGGGGGCAAACTTGGCAAAACACAAAACGTTGAGCTGACACTGAGCGGCATGAAGACACCACTGGGCCGATCGCTCTCCTTTATATGTTTGATCTGGCAGGGTTTAGGGTTTGGGAGGAGGGGGTGCACTCTGCCAGAAAAGGAAGGAAGGGAAGTTTCAAACACTGAAATTCAAAGAGCGTCTCACAGTTCAGCAGAGAGAGGAGAGGTGTTAGGATGGAGGGAGCTGGGAGTAGCAACCAGCTGAAACTGTGTCCTTTGTGGATGCTTCTTATCGGCTGAAATGACTCATAAAATGGTTCCAACAAGTACAATTTACCAGAGTTTTGAGGGAAGAGGTTTGGGTTTCTGAGCTGAAAGAGGTTCGCCCAACAAGAGGAACAATTTTTGATTACGTCTGTCTTCTTTTGGGCTTGTATGTGACAGGAATCTTAATTTTTCTATTTCATTTTTCATTTATTCTATAAAACTACAGGAGATCCCCCTTTCCGAGATCCTCCAGGTGGAGCCTGCGCAGGACTTCGGCAGCCTGCCACAGGGCAGCAACCCTCACTGCTTCGAGGTGATCACAGCCAACATGGTGTACTATGTCGGGGAGGACAACGGCAGCCTGTACCACAACCCCGTGCTGGCGGCGTCCGGCGTTGGGCGGGACGTCGGCCACAGCTGGGAGAAGGCCATCCGACAGGCGATGATGCCGGTCACGCCCAAGGCCAGCGTCGGCACCGGGCCTGGCCAGGGGAAGGACCACAGTGAGTAACCCCCACAAACATGAGTCCAACTTATTGTTCTCTTTCGAAAAAAAAAGAAAAAGCAATATAGCTAAGGCTTAAAGTTCATTTTTATACATCTTTACAAAAAGTGTATTTCAAAGTAGTTTGTTTTCTGTAGCCAGAGGATACTGTTAGCACAGTTTATAGTATGATAAATGCTAATAGTGTCTGGACTAATGCTGATGTCCTGGATTACTTCTTATGCTAGACAGTTGATTAAGCTGCACAGATGAGTGAAGATACACACACTTCAAGGTCAATTTTGCACGTGCAGTTAGATACATTCAGCCAATCACAACATGGCAGCTACATGGCGTTGTAACAAAAATGGCTGATCACCCTGTTGTTTAAATCTGGCAGCTGCTGGTGCTCTTTCTGCATATAAACTGCAGGTTCTTAGAAATCCATTTAGGTGCAAATGTGTTATGGTCTACAGAAGACAAACAGCTCACAAATATATAGTTTAGTTTTTAATAAAGTTTCCAAAAATGTCCAAAACAGATGGCCACTGTCAAACAGGCGGAAATATGAGGTTCATTTGTTGCATAAATATGGCAGCAGGACAATGTTGGTCATTGAGTAAAGCATAAAATATCACCAGTATTATCATTTAACAAATGCCAATGTACTGTGTGTATGTAAGTACGATGTGACCTTGGTTCCAAAAATGATCCCTGAGGCACTCCACTAGTTTTCAGGGCAACAGGGGAGACACTTCCAGTAAAGGAGATAAAACATTAGAAAACCTTTATTGATATCTAATATATAACAAAAGACAGATTTTGTTGCAGAGTCATCCACACTGACCTTTACAAGGAAATGAACCCTGCACCCTGGAAATGTAACTGCATGTCTTTTACCCTTTGACACTGAAATGGAGTCATTTTCAAAAATCAGATTAGTCTCTGATATGTTTTTATGTTTTAATGCATGTCTGGATTTGTCTGTGAAGAGCTTCCAAATATTGTTTCAGAAGACAATTGTTATACAACCCCACCTCCGCACACACACTCACACTCACACTGCCTGCTGACATTTTAACATGATTGAAGGGATTTCAGAGGATTTTCCGCTCTCATTCATCTCAGGTTAAAGTGTCTTTTTGGATGAAAACAAGAGTTTTAAGTTTGAGTTATTCTGCACTAAATACCTAAATGGACCTCACGGCATGAAAAAAAACAAAACACCAATAAGTATTATGGAAGCCTTTCATTGTTATAAAACAGTTGTGCAGTCAGCTGTGTTTTCCACCTGTTGAGTAATTAACATCAAGCTTCAGTTTCTTTCCAAAAATAGATGTTTTGTTTTGCAATTAAATTACAGCAACACACATCAATAAGTTAATGGACAGATGATGTAACAGGGCTTTTGCTAACAGTCCAACAGTGGGCCTTTGTCGCTGTAATACAGAGGAACATAAAACCAAAAAGATGACAAGAATAAAAAAAGACATGGAATAAAAACAAAGCAGGCAAATATTAAACATTATCAAACCCACTGAAGCTCCAATAGTGTCAATAAAGTTACATAAACGCTGCGTGTTCAGATTTGTTTGTTCATTATGACTCTATTGGCTGCAAATGTCAATATGTAAACATAAAAAACAAAACATGTGATGTAACTGTGACGCTGTGAGATAATTCAAAACCATTTTCAAACTTAGCTGATTGTTATGAAATGTTACTTCATAACGCTTCTTCTCACAATAACAGATTTTATTGCAGGTGATTTCATTTCTGCAAAATAACAATATATAATTATGTTTTGTCTGTATTTACATAACATTATTACATAATATTCTTTAATTGTGAACACTAATGTCTCTCCTCTTCCAGGAAACTGTAGTGTTGTTAAAAGTGAGAATGTAATTATAAAATATAACACAAATTAGTATGGATGAAGGACATGTCAGTTTTAGGGGGAGTTATGTGCTGTAATCTTGTTGCAGCTTCTTGAAGTCTTGTTGTCACCGTGAGGTTGCCAGGTCATTGCTCATATCTGGCAACCCGTGCTGTAGCCAGAGATGCAGCAGGATAGCTCAGATTCACTGTTATTCATGAAGAAATACACCAAACAAAACCACAGACTGTACTTTTTACATGTCTGTTTCTGTATTGATTAAACAGACTAGACACAGACTAGAGCACGGCTAGCTGTTTCCCCCTGTTTACTGTCTCTATGCTAAGCTAGGCTAACCACGTCCTAACTCTGTCTCCCCACTTAACGCACACACGTGATATTTTTATCAATCTTGTGAATGAAACTTCCTGCACTTTATTCAAAGTCATGGATTCTGCTCAAAAATACAGGAACATTAACGAGGAAAGCAGATATAAATTTTCACTAAAATTAACTAAATATAAAAAGAGACACAATATCCTGGTTTAAAATTAAAGCCTTTTCCATTAAGGTCGATAAAGTTGCTATTATTTAAGACTTAACAGTCGAGTACAGATCTGGACCACAGTTTACATTTCTGTCGATAAAGTTACGTAAACTCTCTGAATGATGACCTAACCGATGACCTGGATATCAACAGGCCGCCTACCTACAGCAGACAGTATTGATCGCAGAGGGATGAACCGATCAAACCCCAGCCAGCGATCTGAAATCAATATCCACTCGTCAGTGGAAATTCACTCGCAGCTGCGGGTTTCCTCCAGACAGAAAGCGCCCTCTGCTTTTAAATGTCATGCTGAATGAACAGTTTGTGACGCTGGGAGAGAGTTTCCTTTACGTGTACTTAAACACAGATAGAAAGAGACAGGAAGTAGAGGCTTTAATATTTTGTGAAATCTGGAAAATTATTTGGAGATCGCACCTGGAAACATCCTCGGTGTTCTTTCATCACGTGTTGAACAAACAAACCTGTTGGTTTGATCTCAGCTGAGAATCTCCTCCCTCATCTTTTTTTAAACAAACAAGGAAACGTGGGAAATGAGATTTTAATGATTTGAAGGTTAGAAAAATAAAACCTCACACGCCTCGGCTGTAAGTGAGGAAGTTTACACGTGTGTGTGGTTTATGAGTTACAGCATCTGTGGCTCAACACATTTATGTGTATGTTTTTCTTTTTGTCTTGTGTCTCCTCAGAGGAGCTATCTATGAGCATATCAGTGTCCAACTCCCAGATACAAGAAAATGTGGTAAGTCATCGCTCACATTACCTTCTGTTGTTACAATCATTCACTGAGGTTATGACAAATTTCTCATGATAAACCCGACCCAACGCCGATGTTCTGTGTTGAAGAAAAAAAACAAATTCTTCAGTTTAAACAGATTTTTTAAGAGTGCTACATATAATTAAATACATACATTATTAACCAACTACTACAATCCTGCTTTTCTAAAAATGCATGAATAATTAAAATCAAATTATATAATACACTAACACAGGGTACATTTTTCTGCATGAGTACTTTATTACTTAATTATTTTTACCTAAGTAACATTTTCAATGCTCAATTTTAAGTAGAATAAGAGTATTTTTACAGAGTGGTGTTAGTAATTGTACTGAAGTAAAGGTTCAGAATACTTCCTGCATCACTGCTGAACACACCTTAACATTAGCATACTTACATAGCATGTTAACATGCCCATAGTTAGCATGTTAAAATGAAACTGTTGTGTATTGCTGCTGTTTAGCATGTCACACTTGTTAGCACGTGTACATGTTAACATGTTATAATTCTTTATAACACTTCACCATGGACGCCTAAAAATGTGGCTAACCATGAATGTTTTGCCCCATTTACCTACTTTACTACTGAAATGTATTTATGTGCCACTTGTGGGCCTCCAAATTCACTTTGTGGTGATGATACACAAGACATAATCTTCATATTCTAGTGTCACAGAGCAGAATGTCTGATTTACCCATTCATTGTTTTTAATAGCTTAATTTGACGTTATGTGAATCCTGTCTGGTCTCTTTGTTTTTCCAGGATATCAGTTCAGTGTATCAGATCTTTGCAGACGAAGTCCTCGGCTCCGGACAGTTTGGGATTGTTTATGGAGGTGAGTCACATGGCAGAAAATGTAAAATCATAGCCTGATGTGATCACGTCACCAGCTAGATCTGCCAGAAAGGGGCTCACAGCATTTTATTTGAGATATAATGATCCGTCTCTTTGAAATATAGATTGCTGGTTTTGTGGGTCATCATCGGGTTTCCCTTTTATCCCAGCTGATTCCCACACATCACTCTATTTGAATTACAGAATAATAAAGCTATCAGTAGAGAGCTAAAATGTTATCCCGTCCCTCTCGTCCTCTGCAGGTAAACACAGGAAGACCGGCAGAGACGTGGCGATCAAAATCATCGACAAAATGAGGTTTCCCACCAAGCAGGAGAGCCAGCTGAGGAATGAGGTGGCCATTCTCCAGGTACGACACGCCGACTGTTAGCAACTTAAGACAAGATGAACAAAGTGAGATAAAATGTGATCATGAAGCAGAAACAAGCTGTTTGCACTCTTAGACTAAAACATCCTAATTTAGGGAGGTTAAACTCATCTAAAGACAAGTCTACACTAAACTAAACTACACTAAAACTATAAGTGACCAAGATGTAGTTGATTTTGTTCCCCTGCTGTTTCTGACAGAACCTCCACCATCCGGGGATCGTTAACCTGGAGTGCATGTTCGAGACGCCCGAGCAGGTCTTCGTCGTCATGGAGAAGCTACACGGGGACATGTTGGAGATGATTTTATCCAGTGAGAAGAGCCGACTGCCCGAACGCCTCACAAAGTTCCTGGTCACGCAGGTCAGTGACATCCGGGAACCTCAACAGAGAAAAGATATAAAACAGAGAGAAAATCAGCAAGTTCTCACATCAGAGAAGCTGCAACAAGTTTTCTTAAAGGATTAACAGATTAAATGTGTGTAGATGTAGAGCTAACTGACATAGATGCAACATTCAGGAGAAATTTTACAGTTTTAAAGAACAACGACTTTGTTTAAAGTTGTTTTGAGTCTGTATGTGTGAATTAAATGCCAGCAAGCATTTGTCCAGTCAGCTGTAGGAATCATTCATGTTGATGCCTGAGTGAAGCAGAGAAAGGTCATTTGTCTTGATAGATCTCAAAGACTGAACTTGTGGCCTGGACTTGCTATGTGTTAAATCTGTGCGTGCGCACGTTGTGTCCGTAGATCCTGGTCGCCCTCAGACATCTTCACTTCAAGAACATCGTCCACTGTGATCTGAAGCCGGAGAACGTTCTCCTGGCCTCAGCAGAACCCTTCCCTCAGGTGAGAAGAAAAAAAGCAAACTCAAATCTTTTTACTTTCCGCTGCTTTTCGTGTCTGATGGGATGCACAATCACCGCCTCTAACTCTGGAGGAATAATCACTCCTCTGTTCCTCCAGGTGAAGCTCTGTGACTTCGGCTTTGCTCGGATCATCGGGGAGAAGTCGTTCCGTCGCTCGGTGGTCGGCACTCCAGCTTATCTGGCGCCCGAGGTGCTCCGCAGCAAAGGCTACAACCGATCTCTGGACATGTGGTCGGTCGGCGTCATCATCTACGTCAGCCTGAGCGGGACGTTTCCCTTCAACGAAGACGAGGACATCAACGACCAGATCCAGAACGCCGCCTTCATGTACCCGCCCAACCCCTGGAAGGAGATCTCAGAGGAGGGTAAGAGACGCTTTGAGTCCTCGTGAGATAAATTATCAAAAAAAACTATGACATAAAGAGACTGTAGCATCAAAAAAATCAAGAAAACCTCTCAATATGCAGCTAATAAATGTAGAGCTGCAACCATTGGTGGATTTATCATTAGTTGTTTGAAAACAAATGATTTTATTCATCATTTAAGGCATTTTTAAAGCTCAAATACAAATAAAGTCTCTGGTTGCAGCTTCTCCCATGTGATATGCTGGTTTTCCATGTTTTATATGATTGTAAACTAAAAATTTTTGGGTTTTGGACGTTTTGGTTGGAGAAAATAAGACATTTGATGACATCAGCAAGAACTGTGGGAAAATGTGATTTGCATTTTTCACTTTTTTCTGACATTTTATAGACCAAGTAATTAACCTAATTATTGGATGTTGCAGCCCCAAATAAATGCAAGCATACTTGAGGACTAGTGTCTCAACAGATGTAGATATTGTCCTGTCAACTGTTTGTAGTGCTGGAGAGAAAATAATAAGACAAGTTCAGAGTTACAGTAAAATTGAGGCGACACCTTACAGCTGAGATCTTTTAATTAAAAGATGAACATGTAAACGTCTTGGAACTATTGTTTTTGAGGTGAAGCTGCACTTGTAGAATCCAGACATGTTGTGAGGCCCTGAGTTTTGTAATTTTGTGGAAATTTAGGTTCATAAGATTTAAGAATTTAACTTAATATGCTTAATATGTTTTGCGTATATACACAGAACATGTAGTTTACTCAGCTGACACATTTTGAGGTACAGCCGGGGTAAAGCGAACAGGATTTACCTTTTTAAATGCTGTTTATTTGAGTAGTTAAATACATTTCTTTTTGAAAATAAAACTGAGACATGGTTGTGGATTAGTAATTATTTAATTCTAAAGCAAAGGGATGATACAGTGTGAATTTTAAACACAAGTGTCATGAAACTACTGACGAAACTTCAAAGCTCAGTTGCCTTTTATTTTCCTGACACTTGTGTTTTTTTTTTGTTTTTTTATGGATCTGATGGAAAAACTTCAGATTCAAAGCAGATTTTCTGTGCAGATGTTGACAGCGAGTGTTTGTTCTTCCTCACAGCCACAGACGTCATTAATAACCTGCTGCAGGTGAAGATGAGGAAGCGCTACAGCGTGGACAAATCCCTGAGCCACCCCTGGCTGCAGGTAACCAAACTGCTTTTCACCTTTACAAGCCACGCAGGACGTGAAAGGTGTCTAAGTGAATAGATAGGTATTCTTACAGCTTTCAGAAAAGTAAAAAAGTCACTCTACACATGAAAACTCTGTCATAAAAAACTAAAAACCAAAGCTGCCAGAAAACGCTTTGAAGTGGAGGCACCGGCTGACGGGATGATTATATATCTTACAGAGGAGTCACCTGCATGCGAGAGCTATAATCAGACGGTCTCTTTACCTGCACTTAAGTAATAGGATGACTCGGAGAGATCAGGTAACGCTTGTACAGTAATTTGTGTTTACACGTGTTAACCTGGTGTAAACAAGCAGTCAGTAATCAGACCTTACTTTGCAACCTTTACTTTAATATTTAAGTATTGTAGTGATACAATACGCTGCTTCCTGACTTTTATTGAGTGTGCATGTCCTTACCTGAATTATACAAAAAGTTAAATTTTATGTTTTGAAAGCCGATTATTATTGAATTTTTATTAAGAAAACAAAGATGCACAGTAACACTTTCCCTGTCTGAAGTCTCTGTAAAGCACAAAACTCACTTTCATGTATACGTGGCCAAGAGGTCGACTTTCTCCAGAAGAATCCAGCCGGGAATCAGATTTCTCTCATCCCCCACGCTGCTCATGAAAATCAGATTTCTTTTTCACGTAATGTTAAGAAATCGAGTAACTGCAGAGAGCAACCCAACTACTTAAGCGCAGGTAAACACCTAACTGTAATCCAATTGCAAAACGTGCGTTATTGATTTAGAGCCTCTGAAACTGAAAGAGGAACGTACATCAGTGCCCGGTTCCGAGTGTTGTGGAGTACTACTGCATATTTGAAAAAAAGGAATCTGCGTGAAGTCTGATAAAGTGATGTCACTCGAGTCAGCGTTGAAGGTTGAAGACTGCAAGTCTGAAACTGAAACAAATCTGTTAGTGTGGAGTGGACTCACCAGACCTCTGTAGCCCGCTGCCTATCTCTGCTGCAGGCTAAAGGCTACTAGCATAACACACCTAAATCTACGACCAAACTGTTAGCTATCATGTTGCATTGTGGGTAATGTAGGCACCAGGTTTTGACAAGGAAGTGTGGAATGAAAAAGACAATCTTTCTGGTTCTGCTGCATTGATTTTGATTCATTTTTTTTATGAAAGAGGTGGTATTATGCTTTTTAGCTTTTCCCCTCTCGTTTATTGAGTTATATATCTTTTTTTGTGCATGTAACAGATTTGCAAAGTGAAAAAGCCCAAAGTCCAGCCCAAAGGGAGTTCCCATCTCCCACAGAAAGCTCTGCTCTGAACTGCCTGAAAACCGCTCCTTTGTAGTCCAGGCGCTTCCCTTTGATCCCTGTGTGACATCACAGCAAAATGTGCGTCATAACGCTCGCCAAGCGACTAGTCAGACACGCCCTCAAAAACACCGGTGGAAAAACAGTGAGCTACAGCACACACCTCTCCTCTCCCTTCCAAACACTATAGCTACCCTCCAGGCAGTCAATGGACATGAAGTTGTTACTGTGACGTAGAGACAGAGCTCAGTTACATTTGTTACAGATTAATAACTCACCACTCTGAATGAAACTCTCGCTCCAGTCCATGTTGCTAAGCTGGTAAGGGGGATGTACAGCTGAACAGAAGCCGTGTTTACCGGTTTCTCAGGGCCCGCCCTACTCTGCTGCTGATTGGCTAGTAGGCCTTAACTAGGAACTGTGCATGTGCAGCTCCCAAGAAAGATCATTTAGAGACAAGATGTATCACTCCATAGCTAAAACGAAGCCTTCAACACAGGGTGAAAAGAGGAGCTACAGCAATGTGCAGTATGACAAAAAATATGGTGTTTTTTGAAAATGAAACCATGTAACCTGTTCTGGTACAACCACTGAAAATGAGCATAATACCACCTCTTTAACACTGTTGAATGCAGTAATAAATCTGCTGTGTACTCTTTTAAAGTTCGGTTAAAGAGCACAGACAAAAACACAAATCTGTCAAATAAAATATCCAGAACTGTTCAAACTTTGCCAGAAAGTGTCGCGTTCATGCTGAAACATGTCGCTCGCAGTAAAAAGCTCTTTGAGAACAAAGTTTTCTGGGATGTTTTGGTGGTTCCTTGGGTTTGAATTTCTTTCCCCTGTTGCTCTCGTCATCTTGCAGGACTACCAGACCTGGCTGGACCTCAGGGAGTTCGAGACGCGGCGAGGCGAGCGCTACATCACCCACGAGAGCGACGATGCCCGCTGGGAGGAGTACGCTGACGAGAGAGGCCTGCACTACCCCAAACACTTCATCATGTCCCCCAACCTGGACGACATGGAGGAGGACCCCTAGTGGCCCCCGGAGGGTAAACATTTCCTACAAGGAAGCGGCAGATTGCAGCGGACACTGCGAGCTTTCATCAAGACTCTGCGGGACAATGTCTTTTCGTGGTAATTGGTTAGCTGCGTGAGGACCCTGTGACATGCGGCGATAATTCAGGTCCAGAGAATTTTAACACATTTTACCTTTTTATCCTATTTCACTGCATTTTTCTACAAGCCATAACAAAAACACCCTGTGAGCCTAAAGCTGGAGGGACTTCTTTTTCCCCAGAATTGCTGCAGAAGGGCTAGTTAAAAAAACAAATCCAGAGCCTTTATACACTTTTTCCAGATCTAATAGCACATTTTAATGACGTCGTTACATTGTAGATCTCATAAAGCTGTGTAGAGATGTATTTTTCTGTTAAAGTCGTCCTGCTAACTGGAACTGAGAAGAAACCAATCGTGTTATGTCTTGATTATGTACAGACTATAATGTTAATTCAGTCCATTGTTCCTTGTTGGGATGTTTTTGCACTATTGGGAAACTTTTTTTTTTTTAAAGGTGGAATTTCACTGATAATAACTTTTGGTTTGTTAGTCTGCAAAAGTAAACTTCTTCCTAATCTGTTTTATGAGGGCTCCTTACGACTAGCACTAGGGGCAATAATTGAGTTTTTTCTGAGGTTGGCGTAGGAGGAAAGGTCTCATTACCAAAATCAAAAGGGTTTCTCCTCTGTACGGTGGCCTTTTTAGGACATCTCAGACTCCACTCAACACAGATTGAGCTCTGAGCTGTATCTTGAGCTGAATGCTAATTTTGCACAACAGAATATTGTGATTTACAGTAAGTTAAGAACTGGATATTAGAAAATTTAAATTACCCTGGGTTTTATTGTCAGTAATATATAATAATAATAATATTTATTTGTAGAGCACTTCAAAATCATTTAAAAAGTGCTTTAACAAGTGTAAAAAAAAAAAATACAAATACATGATAAAAGCAAGAAAAGAGACTAAAATATACGTTTAAAATAAATATAAAAATAGAATAAGTCAAATAAGATCAGGAAAGGCTCTCCTATAAAAGTATGTTTTCAGAAGGGACTTAAAAGAGTTCACTGACTCAGCCGACCTGATTTCCTCGGGCAGGCTGTTCCAGAGCCTCGGGGCCCCGACTACAAACACTTTGTCCCCTTTAGTTGTTGTGGTCATTCTGATTATGGATCATGTTAACTCACAACCTCTGTTGACGAGGTTCAGTAAACGTTAGCGTTGGTATTCTAAATAAAGAGTTACTCAGGACTCATAAAACACAATTCAGTTCAAAGGAAGAGCCGACACCAGGCTGCTGCATGTAATCATAAAGTAATACTTTTGCAGAGAAACAAATTCAGAGTTATTTTCAGAGCGATTCTTTCTGAAACTTTGGATGAAGATGAGCTGAGAATTGAGCTGCTATTGTCCTTCTTTGTCTTTTTGTGGAAACCTGCCTGAGGACAAAAAAAGACTGAACTGTAGAGGGTTATTGATCCCGATCTGACTCCAGCCTGAGAATTTAATTCACACGTTTTTATATTTTTGCAAAAAATCTTGTGTCATATGGATGATTTTGATTTGATATTAAAGCTGAATGGTTTAGTTTGGAAAAATCTCCTTTTATATGCTGGTTATTCAGCTGAGGCTGTTATATAGAGTCCAAGTTCCTCCCCTTCCAGTGGACCGACATGGGACGTTATTTGGAAATATGTGGGGTAGTAAACGACGAGAGACAACAATTATTTTTTATCCTGTTTGATTTGTGCCCTGAATTACACACGATGTGCTGACACAACTGCAACTTTCTTGACGGACAAAATTATCTTTTAAATTGACAAACATCACGTGTTATTCAGGGCACAATTCAAACGGGATGTAAAAAAAATATTTTGTTGTCTCTTGACGTTGACGACTGTACCGAAATTAGATCCCATAGGGCGGAAGGGGAGGGACTGAGGCTCTCTATTCATAGCAATGTATGGATGCAAAAGTAGAAAAAAACTCAGATCCTACAACCAACAGCAGCATCACTGATGCATAATCATGTATATATGCATAATTCACATGGATCCTTTAATCCCCACATACCATTTTTTTTAATAAGGAGCGCTGGGGGAGGAAAAAACCCCAAAGATTTCTACCCTGAAAAAAGTTTCTGTGGTGGAAAAAGGCTGTAACGTTTGGCTTGATATAAAGCAGGATGAACTTTTAAGTCTGAACGCTTTCAGCTGCTGATTAAAGAGCAATTACAGAGGAGTTTTAATATCAGTCAATCAACTGGGTTACTTTAGAGTTTAGAGGCTTTATGGCAAAAGACAGAGGGTGCAAAGTTCCTGCTGAACGCAGATGATGAAGACATTTGAGGAAAAACTTTGAGGATTTTGCACAAACGTACTGATATGAACAGTCAACAATTCTTCAAGGATTTCCCTCAGGATTAATAAAGTTCTATCTTACCAATATGTTTGCTTTCTCCTTCAAATCTTTGTTAAAGATTTTGTTTTTTGTTTCAGCTCCTTTTTTAACCTGCAAAATCTCTGTTCATTGTATAAATAAAGTTTGATAGATTTGGTTCCACTGTGTCTAATCCCAAACTAAAGTCAGATTTGAAGACAAAACCCAAAGCGTCACTAAAACATCTGATTTTGTCTGGCGGCGGTTTAGAGGCGAGAAACCTTTTAAACCTCTTCAGTTGTTGCCGTTTAATAAAATCCTCTAATTTCTTCCAAATGTATGAGTCAGACTCATCAAACCTGGTCAGGAAAAAAAAAAACACACAGCCCCTCCTGAATCAGAGGAAACGCTGATAACGATCCGCAGCAGGATGTTTGGAAACGATCATTTAATTACCAATCCTGAACATGATCGCCTCACTCCGCCGCTCCTCTGAGGGACGGCTGCTTGTTTTGGCAGAGGCGACCCCCCCCCATGTGTAACAGAATCTTTTAATTGCTACCGGAGGAGCGGCGGACTCGTTGTGAATGGCTGCTGCACAACTGTGAGCTCAGCTAACCGCTTCAAGATGTGGACGAAGGCAGACGGCCCGAGCGACGGCGTAGCAGGGAGGAAAGAGATCCTCCTGCAGCGGGATGACCTCTGACCTTAAGTGGTGTCACCGTTTACTCTGCGTATCAGCTGTCGGTGCGCTCTGAATTTTAAAGACCGGGACATCTGTTCAAAATAACGAAACATGGCTTTAAAATAGTAGAAGTTGATAAGATTGTTTGGATGTGAAAAATTTACTTTGTTGGACAACCTTGTATATCATCAGTTCCATATCAAAAAATAAATGTTAAACCAACACAAATGTTTTATTTTCTTGTGATTTTGCATCAAATGCCTTTTACAACTGTTAGTTCACTTCATGTTGGACATTATTTCTGGTAAAGTACAGCAGATTTCTTCTTTTTCTCTAAATTAGAGACGTGCACTCGGTCTGCGTTTTTTTTAATGTCAGCAGCGTCCCATGACCGCGATCTCCTGAAATATCCTGCATCCAAGCTCGAAAAACCTCTCTAGAAAAGTTCCGATCATTTCCAGACTTCTCTGACGTGTGGATGAAAGCCTCCGGGCCGTTAAAAATCCCTCAGGAGAAGCTGAGCTCGGTGAATCCGGCCACAGGCAGCGGCGCCGGGTTCTTCTTCTCCAGCTTCAGCCCCTCTGGTTTCTTGGGTTTGGCCAGCCGACTGTGGTGCAGCAGGCCGAAGAAGTGGAAGCGCTCGCCCATCTTGGCGGGGTTGGTCAGCATGTCGTAGCTGCCGATCAGCTGCTTCCTGGTGGACTCGTCGCTGCAGTTCCTCAGCAGAACCTGCAGAGAACCACAGGGGAGTTAAAACCTCTGAAGGTTTCTGTTCCTGAACGCCTGGGAGGGTTCGTTTCTCAGTGAATTTGAGGACCGCCTACAAATCTCTGGACGTGTTTCTGGTTTCCAGTTTACTCTGGTATGGAGTAAATGAGTCATTAAACCTCCACTATTCAGTATTTCTAATATCAACAATGAATCACGTGACTGTTTAAGGTCAAAGGTTTTGCTTTATACTTTTTAGCTCACAGTTTCGGTATGTTGTTAGTTTGATGAAACTACTGGACACCAACAGTCAAAATTAGTGACCAGCTGGGGAAGAAAGTGGAACATTTAGCAGCTGAAAGAAAAAAAAAAGAGGGAAATTTGTCATTACATTCATCAGGTGCACAGACACGTGGCTCCAACTGAATGAATGTTGCTCTGTGTGTCTGCCGGATATATAAATAGGCAGCTATTTGCAAACCAACAGGATCAACAAGATCATAACGTAATTTATATATCAGATATATCAGTGTTTTCGGCTCCATGTGGCCAAAAAATTAATTAATGCAACTTTAAATATGCACAAGATCATGAGGTAATTTGAGTTTTGTCTCAAACCCCACACCATTATTGTGTGTATTACCAAAGGTTATTATTACTGGAGAAACTGGTGCATTTCAGAGCTACATCGATTGTTTTGAGCCAGTATTTCTTTCTTTCTTTCTTCGTTTGTCGTCGTCTGTCTGTCTAATAAATGTTAGCACAGAAAGGCCAAATACGTTCCTGGGTAGAAAAAGGTTTGTCCACCATAGAACAATGAAGTTCATTTTACTGTAAAATGTCCACGTGCCGTTCTTTCATAACTGAATTTAATGGATCCTCAAAAATGTTTATCTCTGCTGGAATATATTTATTAGACTGTTTTAAAACTCTAAATTTCAAATACCAGAATCAGCCTCAAAAATCCACTTGTAGAACATTTGATTCAATTAGATGAAACTTAGTGATAGAAAATATGACTATCACATGGCTCATCGTCATCGCCATTATAGCTCTGTTATCAGTGATGAAAACCAGCTGAGCTACTGCTTCTGAAAAGGCAGTCAGACCGTCAGACTCGCCTGCATTCGGGAGTCGATGCCCATGTTTTTCAGGAACGTCCTCTGAGAGACGGGTCCCAGGCAAGCCACGCCCCCTCCAGCCAT